GTGCTAAAAAAATGGCGTTAAGCCCCAGAACAACAACAACAACAACAACAACAACATAAAATGGCCCAAGAACATCAAACACTGTGCTGTTTGGTGCATTTCCGGATTAATTTTACATCATCCAGTTAATTGCCGCTGCTTATAAAACAGAAAGGAACGGACTAAGAAAGAACTTATGCTGGGAGACGTGTAATATTAAAGACGTTAACTGTTATTTACTAGTCCTACGCTACTGCGGCTCCATACAGGTAAAATGGTAACATATATAAAATATCAGGTTTTAAAGCTTCGTTTAGGTATACGAATTAAAAGCTACCGGTAATAAATATACATTTCTTAAATATAGAGTCAGAATTTGTTAGAATCCTCATTCATTTAAAACGTTTACTATATTCTTTAGTGACACATCATCAGAAAGCTGAATTGTAATATTTTGAGTGGTCACTGAATTGTAATAGTTTTAGTTGTCATTGAATTATGATATATTGATCGGTCAGCTATTTACGATATGTTGGGCTATAACTGAATTTTGATAGTCTGAACGGACACTGAATTGGTATAGTTTCAGCGGTCACTGAATTGTGATATTTTGAGGGGTCATTGAATTATAATATTTTTAGCGGTCACTGAATTGTAATATTTTAATTGATCACCGATTTGTGATAGTTTTAGTGGTCACTGAGTTATGATATGTTGAGGGGTCACTGCATGGTCATTTTTTGAATGGTCACTGAATTATATTTTAAGTGCTCACTGAGCTGTGATAGTTTGAGCGGTCACTGAATTGTGATATTTTGATCGGTCACTATGTAGATAGGTTGTGTCGTCAGGTAAGGAATACCTATTTTTGATTTGACCTTACTTTTGCAGAATCAAATGTAAAACGTAAACGTACATACGTAAAGTAATTCCCCACCCACCCACCCTATCTTCTTCGTTTGAACTTGACTTAGGAAAGAATATAACACGCTGTGCGTTGATACAGTCTACTTTTCAGCTGCAATCTCTTTTTTGAAGCAAAGCGATCCTGTATTTGGATCAGTAGTAAATCATGGTCTCTCCTCCAAACCCACACCCTCTCCCTGGACGGGTCTGACCCATACATATTTAAACCTGGTTATTTTCAAGGACAACGTTGTCGACAAAATGTTTAAAGTTTGTGTTGGTTCTTTTAAAATTTACTAATCCGAAAAGTTTCTTTACAAATTCATTTCAAACGCAATATTATTTTCATTTTGTAGAATATAATTCATAAATGGAATTCCTATGTAGTTAGCATAATTTATAAGTATTAAACCAAAGTTCAGAATATATTAGTATTCATACAGAGATGGGAAGCATTTGTAGTATTTATCTGTGTGTGCGCGAGAGAGAGAAATCAATTAGCTCAGTTTATCACTTTCAAATATATGTTGTTTATATGGATCTACGGCTGGAAATAAGACCGCTCCGGTGGCATGGTGGTTAGAGCGTCCGCTTCGGATGTGGGAGGTCGAAGGTTCGGTCACGGCCGAGACATACCAAGGACTTATAAAAATGGTACATACAGCTACTTCGCTAGGCGCTCAGAATTAAAAGTTAGTGTTATGACTGGTCGGCCTGGTGTCAGGATAATGTGATTGGGTGGGACATCATGCCACGTGTCTACAGCATGATGTCCCAGTGCTAAGCATCTCTATAAATTGCCACACTGTAGACATCGTAGCGATATGACTGAAAAATTGATAAAGTTACGTTCAAAATCCAAAATCACACACGCACACACACACACACACACACACACACACACACACACACACACACACACACACACACACGGCTGAAAATGCCATTTGTGTTCGGTAGACGCAGTCGGAAATTTCTGTCCGGTTATATTTCAAGAGATTTTTTAAGGTAATTAATGATATCTGCTGAAGGTGATTCAGCATATCTAGATCCTTTAATTATAGATCCTGGTTTATAACAAGAATATTTCAGGAAGATGTTTACCTTGAACTCTTATCAAGATTTTGTATGACTACCTTTTGGTATCAATCTAGTACACTCTCTATTTCAAAGAACTTGTAAATTTAAAGTTCCGCTTCATGCTTGATATTACCCATGTCATAGTAATAGGACATTGGCTGTTAGGACACACCTGCAATGTTGGTATGTAATTTCATTGGCTGTTAGGACACATATGCCATGTTGGTATGTAATTTCATTGGCTGTTAGGATACAAATGCCATGTTCTAGTTTGTTAAAATTCTATCTTCTAACGGTGAAACTTATTTCTGCATCCGTAAAGTTTTCGATTTTTGTTCAGAGTTATGCCAAGCCAATGCTGCAGAGCACTTATTTTTTTATAGCAAGGTTCATCTGAATGATTTTTTATAATTATTTTTAGGACCTATCTATAACAGAATATTATTGTTGGATTTTAACCAAATTTTTTGTATGCTGATTTGTTGATACGACCCAGAAGCAGGTCGAATTTATGATCTTTTAGATGAGATATGGTTCTTGATTGCCAGAACCTCCTAGATTTTCATTTCTGCAGTCTCTCCTTCCCAGGAGATTGTTCGATTTGAACAAAATTTGTGCAAGTAACTCTTTATTTGAATCGACCTTAAACAAGTCCGGTTTCCAGTATACATCGTTTACAGGTGTTGTGACCCTTGAAGAGACCTTGAACGAGTTGATTTCCTGCGTTCCACATCATTTACAGTTGTTGTGAAGCTAGATTGCCGGTACTTCGGACTTTAAAACGGCTACAGATAGCTGCAGTCGGACTGTGCTCAATTAGCTCAAATGACATCACTGTGCTATCTTGATCGATGGCACAAGATTTAGATGCGAGGAGAAATGGAGAAATGCATCAAATATTTAAAAAAATAAATGGACCACTGTCATGAAAGTTTCGCATTTTTACCATCATTGCGTCGTTTTAAAGAGTGTAAGCAGCTTTTAACATGCATGAGATGATTGGCAGACTTGCTGATTTTGATTTAAAAAAAAAATAATTAAAAAAATAAACATCTTGCTTACAATCCAGGTAATGATACGAATCACGTGATCAAAGTACCCAATGCGCGAAAGAACTGGCTGCAAACTACAATCAGATCTGATATTCTACTTGTCCGTATTCCTTCCAGCAACATATATGTTGAAAGATTATTATTGTAAGATACCATGAACAGTATCATTCAGCTAAAGTATTGCCCATATAATTAACTAAATTATAGAATATTGTAGATCGTAACTTGAATGAATTTCATAAAATACTTTATTGATTTGAATGCATTAAATGTATTTGTGTTGTAAAATTAATTTAAGCTGTGACAATTTGCATTATTATTAGAGATTGCACTCAGAACTATATCGCACTGTGCGTATGTTAGATCATTGATTGTAGATGTAAATTGTAGATAGATAAAGTAGGTCTACGCGGTTCTGCCATTTCAGATTGGACCATTGGTTGGAGAATTTCGGTTATGGATAGATGAAGAAGGGAATTATTTTGCACGTATATTTTAAATTTAATGGCTGAATAAAATTTTTATTTGAATCATGCTAAACTCTTTACAAGTATGCCAGTGAATTTTAAGTAATTTATCAAGTTAATTCGTCTGGAGTTTCAATATTGTACCAAAATCACTAAAATCAATAAATTGTCGACAATCACTAAATTGTCGACATCCCCAAGATTATTTAAGTTTATTTGCTTGCAGTTTGTATTTTTGTAAGCTTTACGTGGCCACGGAATGTAATTTGCAATTTAGTATAGCATACTTAGAAATCTGTTACTTCTAAGTTCATTGATTGTTATATACATTTTGCTACATCGCTTTATTTCAGATGTTTAGAGGAGTTAATTAATGCATGTTCACCATATGTTTTTGTCATGCAAGCGGCTAAGGTTATCATAAGGTGATGAAGCGAGCGTTGTTAAAAAGAGAGACAACAAGAACAACCATTTCATTATTGATTTTAGCTCATCAGGTGTCAGTCCTGTGTCATCTGTCGTCCGTTCACAATTGTTACATATAACCTTTATATCAATTTACTCGTAATTATACATGATCATTCTGAGATCAAGGCCTCTCAAATTAGTTTCTTTGGATGCCGATCCGTCGTACAAGAAGACTCCAGTTACTAAAAGTAGTGAAACCTCTTAAACGAAATCTTCTCAAAAACATGTAAGGAATTTGACCTAATTTCAATCCAAAGCACCCATAGGTGAAGGTCTCTAATACTTTCTCGAAAGATTATAATAATGAATATAAGTGTCATCACCTCAAAATTTGATAAACTTTAGAACGATTTATATCGTGCCGATACGTCACCAAGTAAAACGGGTGATATTGGAATAAGAAAGGCCTTGAAGTGTTTCTTTTTTTTAAAAAAAACCCCCAGAATTTTACCAAAATTTGGGAAAGGGTCACTTTTCTTAAAGGTCTTTCAGATTTATATAAGATGTTGCCGATCTGTCATCAAATATGCTCACTATAACTAGAAGGTACCCGCACCCCACCCCACCCACAAACATTTAAGCAATTTTATATTTTGAAAAAGAAAACAGCGCTTAACATAATTTGACCATCTTTACACAACTCATCTACATATAAGGGACTCGCTGTTTTGGATAAATAATGTCAGTTTGCTGTCAGATGTTGTTGTAGGGTTTAACGCCATTTTTTCTGCGTCCAGTATAAACCGGTGGAATAAGAACCATAGAAAACACTTGGAAGAACCACCGACCTACGATAAGCTACTGGCAGGCTTTCTCACATACCCACGTTAGCCGAACCTGAGTCTCGAACCCACGCAGACAGAGGTGAGATGGCAGTGATTTGGAACGGTAAGCGCTTCAGACCACTCGGACAGTCTGGGACCTTTGCTGTCAAATAATGATGAAGATACGAAAATAAGTTCAGAAACATTCTTACAGATATTTTCATAATATTTGTATCAACTACATTGGAATAAATTTCTTGAGAAAGCACTCAAACGATTCATGCAACTCTGATGGCCTAGTGGTTAGAGCGTTCGCTTCAGATGCGGGAGGTCGCGGCTCAAACCCCAGCCGAGTCATGCCAGAAACTTACAAAAATGGCACTAACAGCTACCTCGTTAGGTGCTCAGCCATAATAGGTTAGTGTTAGGACTAGTCGGCCTGTTATATCAAGTGCATGAGCAGTCAGACGTATTTACGTATTGATTGTATTTTATTGACCTTGAATTGTCATTTTGTAATAGTAATACTGTGTTGCTCGGCTCGCCTATATCTGCACTTTGATTGAACTGCAGCCTCTCTTGTCTGCACAAGATTTACTGCATAACAGCAACCTTGCTGAGCCCGATGGAGGTGTTGATAAATTTGTAGAATCCATGCGGTTGAAAAGTAGTTTTTAAAAAATCCATTAAAATCACATCATTTTCCATGTGTGTGATATCAGATAATTGGAATGACAAGTTTTTTTTTCCAAAATTTTAAGTTTAAAAAATGGCTAATTTAAATTTTGTTAAAAAAAAGTATTATTTTCAATTTTGGTATAGAAGAGCAATAAAGTATTGAAGCCTTATATCGATAAAATAGTTAAATTATTAAAAATTTTACCTTGTAAATCGTGTTTTGATTGACATTGTTTTGCTTTTATTTATTTTAGAGTGTTGTCGTGTGTATGGAGTATTTGGTAGCAACAAAAAATGGCAGTCTTGAATCAGTTTCTATGAAACTACTCTCCAGGTTTTTTTTTTTTTTTTTTTTTTTTTTTTTAAATGAGATTGGCTTACTAAATTATTAGAAAGAAGAAAAAAAATGTAAGTAAGAACCAAAATTTCATCATATATTTCTTGGGGAGTACAAATTTAAGAATTAATTTCCCCTCTTTCAAGCCCAAATGTGTCCCGCCCACATCCTTATTGAACAGTATATATCAGTGGGATAGGAGTGGTGTTTACAAACACAAACTGTTCAGCTTGATAGAAAACGTATCGGAGACTCCATACATCTACTTACTTTTAAAATGAAACGTAACGAAGACGTATTTGAAAATGACATTGTCTATAAACCTACTGTGAAAGCTAATGGTGTGAATGAAGACATCAGGTCTAAACAACAACAAAATGGCCATGTACAGGGCAAGGTTTGTAATTCTGTTGATTACTCAATTTTATTTCTTTTAACTTATAACCATTTCTAATTATCAAGTCCAAACAGATGCTTGTACATGATGTTTTCTCTGTTGTCTTTCCAAGAATAATTTTGATCTGTGATCCTTCAAATAAAAAGTTTAGAATAGTTAGATGATTTTCAGATTTTATTTTTTTTAAAGAAAATCTCTGGAAATACTGCAAAAACGATTCGATTCTTTTTGTTGTCATTCAGTTTGTAGTAGTTTGTCTTATGATTGTCGCTGAAAGCTTTCCTTTGAAATCCTCCCTTTTGACAGAGTTATGGACCTATGAAAGGACCATCATTTTGTTTTAAATAAGTCTTTTGTTGTTTTTTTTATATAGATTAATACAAACAATACTATCATACAGGTTAGAGAAATTAAATTCGTACTCTACCGAGTTTCGAACCCAGGTCAGCGAGTAAATGGCACCCATCGCCTTGCCTGCACGCACTGACCCATATACAGTCACGACTAAGCACGCATTACCAAAAAATGATGGCACTGAATCGACCTGGTTTCGAAACTCAGGTAGAGTACGAATTTAATTTCTCTAACCTGTATGATAGTATTGTTTGTATTAAACTATTATTTCTACCCACTATTATCAAGATTCTACTACAGAATCCAGGGATAGCACAGTCTGTTCTGTCTGTTATATATATATATATATATATATATATATATATATATATATATATATATATATATATATATATATATATATATATATATATATATATATATAATTGAGCAATGTCCTTAATATTCACTTAAATGATGTTAGTATTGATCAGAGAGAGAGAGAGAGAGAGAGAGAGAGAGAGAGAGAGAGAGAGAGAGAGAGAGAGAGAGAGAGAGAGAGAGAGAGAGAGAGAGAGAGAATTTTCGCTATTATTAATTCAATAATTGGAATTTAACAGCAAGCACTATATAATTGACTTCACTTTCTGAAAAAAAATCTGATGGTGTCTGATTGAATTTAGGTGAAAAAGCTGCTGATCTTAATTTACTGATGCTGCCATTGTGGTCAATTTGAAAATATTGATATCGCTCAAGAACATCAGAGATTATATACGATATAATGTCTTATGCGTTCCTTGTTGAGATTTCAACCCTTTTTTTTTGTACGCACTATATTTCTACGCATCCTCATGTACGAACCGGGTAATGCACTTTCAGCGCATTCTTTTGTATATTGTACAGTACCTGTCTATTCATTTATGTATGCCGCAATTTCTGTCATCGGATTCTGTCATTGGAATCCGGAGTGACCGTTTGTATTATATACTGTCTTCCTTCCTAGGTAGGGTGGGATGGGAAGTTCGCATGATCGAAGGTGCTTAGGGTTTGGTGTGTTCAGGCAAGGCGATTTTTGCCAGGGACCCAGGTTCGAATCTCGATAGGGGATGAATTTCAAATTCTCAGTAAATATTATCACAGCATATTATCACGCATCTTCAGGTTGGATACGGTGATAGCACTTTCCGCTATTTCTGAATTTTATTGCTATGGAAGATTCTTGCATGTGTTTTTATAAGGTTTTGTTGTTTAAATGTGTTTTTTTTAATAGCATTATAATGAATTTGCGAAACAAACTGAATATTTATTTAATTGAGCAATGTCATAAATATTCACTAGAGGATGTAAGTATTGATCATACAGAGAGAGAGAGAGAGAGAGAGAGAGAGAGAGAGAGAGAGAGAGAGAGAGAGAGAGAGAGAGAGAGAGAGAGAGAGAGCTAGCTTTCGTTATCAATAATTCAATAATTGGAATTTAACAGCAAGCACTATAGAATTGACTACACTTTCCTTTAGTAAAGACTTTCCAGCAACTAGAATGGCCCCTGATGGCCGAGTGGTCTAAGGCGATTGCCTTTAGAGATCACAGACATTTCGCCTCTGTCCGCATGTGTTCGAGTATCGGGCTCGATCTGCATGGACATGTGAGAAAGTTTGCCAGCATGGGTATGTGAGAAAGTTTGCCAGTAATATCGCGTGGGGCGGTCATGTATTGCATGTCGTATTGCTGAAAATTGGCGTTAAGCCCACAACAACAACAGCCACTTGAGAGCAGTTGGTGCAGATATCGTATGCTAGTATAAGGTGTTGCGTAGGTATTGAAGAGGTTTTTGAATCATGAACGTCATTGGGCGTAATGGCTTTTACTATGCAGTATACAAAGTGTAGACAGTTACGCATTGATGCTTGTAGGTTTTCATGTACGAATCACGAATAGTTTTGTTTAACCCCACCCCATAATTCATCAAAGTATTTAATATTTTTTCTTCTTCTGCTTTCCCAGCATAGCATTGATATCTTTAAGTCAAATGCACAAAGGCGTAACCGAACGACATTGACGTACATTTTAACTACGTGTGAACATTTTGTAATAGATCTTGAGTGAGTGATTGACGTAACTAATATTCATTATGAAACTCTTGTTATCATTACATATTTTTAACAAAAGTCATATCGGCATGAGGTTTCCACCAAAGATTTATTTAAAATGTCTTGGTTTCAGGTGAAAAATGGTGCAGATTTTACTTCCAGTTTAGCACCTATTGCCACCAAAATGAAAATCTTCTTGTCGCATCCCTAGACCAACAAGTAGGTCTCCGCTTTTTTCCGCTGTCAGAATAAAGCGGATACCTACTTGTTGGTCTGTCGCAACCTCTTCTCTTCATTGTTTGAACTAATTAGAATTTGGACTATTTTTTTTCATCAGTGGTGATAGTGTTTGGAGCTTATTTCGGTTACAGACATGGATCTAGTGTTGCGTAAAATGCAGTGATAATTAGAAGATACTGCTTAATCAATAGATCGTGTTGCAAAATCCTCCAAGCAACGCAAATTTAACAGTAATTTACTGTATCAAAATGTCTTAATTTAAGTTCCAAATTGTTCTAAACTTGGCAGAGAACGTAAAAAGGAGTTACGTGGTATATCGTGACAAATGTGGGTCAAATGTAGCAGGTCAAGGCCACGTCATCAAGTCGGAAACCTCTATCACAGACTGGATTACACAGTGTTTAAAAAATATTTTCAGCATAAAAGACTCTCCCCATAGATACCCATTGAAATCCAACAATAAAAGGAATTATGAGCAGAAATGTAAGTTTAATAGACGGACAGAATTTAAAATACCAACATTATTTATGTTTTGAAAATCCTTAAACAGGCTTGGTTGAATTATAAAATAATCTTACAGAATTTCAAAAGCTTTGGTTTTTATGCTTAGAATAGGTTTTGAATATCATGTTTATTCTTTCTTTTTTAACATTTTTATTTTCTGCTCCCACTAAGCCTACTGCATATCGTTTCAGACTGATGAAAATGAAGCTGGGTGGACCTTTTGGCTGGTATTTAGCGTCGTTGTCGCTGTCTTCGGAAATTCATTCCTGTACGGATACAATATCGGCGTAGTTAACTCCCCTGCTAAGGTAGGTGATATATAAACACAATTGCAATACGATTCTCCTAAGATATCAGTGATATGAAAATCGTTTTGGTGATAAAAAAAGGTATGATGATCGGAGAATCTCTTTGTTTTATGTCTTGTTTATAATGCTTGTCTGTTTTCCTTCATATTGAAAAAAAGTTGTACCAGCAATGTGGGACTGTTCAGTTGATGAAAGGGTTCTAATAGTTATATTTGCATGACTAATCAGTGGTTAAGTGTAGTGTGATAGAAGCATGGGTGACCAATCAGTGGTTAAGTGTAATGTGATAGAAGCATGGGTGACCAATCAGTGGTTAAGTGTAATGTGATAGAAGCATGGGTGACCAATCAGTGGTTAAGTGTAATGTGATAGAAGCATGGGTGACCAATCAGTGGTTAAGTGTAATGTAATAGAAGCATGGGTGATCAATCAGTGGTTAAGTGTAGTGTGATAGAAGCATGGGTGACAAATCA